CCTACCCTATAGAGCAAGATAACTGCCCACTGCCCACAGAATTTCTGAGAGGAGTAACTCACGCTTACTTCCTCCACTTCTTCGTCCTCCAATCACACCTCATCCTCCTATAACCTGGTTCCCATAACCAGTAACTGAAACAAATCTCTCAAAGTCATCAGCAACCTCTGACACTCACTGCTGCCTCTTGCATGCCTTTCACCACCCCGTCGTCGTCGTCCTCAAAAATATGTCTCTTGACTATTTCTCCAGGTCTGATGGTTTCTCATGGCTTTTGGTTGCCTTATCTTCTACCCCCAATGTTCATTTTCCCCCACAGAATTTCTACCCTTGGACCTTCCCTCAAAACTGTCTACTTCGACTCCCACCTCTTCAATCATTAGCTCACACTAGATAAATTCCAAATCTGTACTTCTAGTCCTAGCCCAGTGATGGCGAACCTATGACACGCATGTCAGAGGTGACACGCGAACTCATTTTTTTGGTTGATTTTTCTTTGTTAAATGGCATTTAACTATATAAAATAAATATCAAAAATATCTTTGTTTTACTATGGTTGCAAATATCAAAAAATTTCTATATGTGACACGGCACCAGAGTTAAGTTAGGGTTTTTCAAAATGCTGACACGCCGAGCTCAAAAGGTTCGCCATCACTGTCCTAGCATCTTCTTTCGAGTTCCACTCCCATTCTCAAATGCCGCCTGGACTAACCTCATGTGTACTGGCACAATCACCACATATTTCTATCACTAGGGGGTTGCCTGTGCTCCTTATTCATTCATCAGGTAGTTTTCTGCACGTGCCAGGAAACCTGAACATAGCAGTAAACACAGCAGACATGGTTCTGCCCTCACAGAGCTTGTGACCCTATGGTGCAGGTCAGGCAAGACACATAAAAAAACCACAGATGGTAAGTGTCATTAAGCAAACACAAGGCAGTATGATACTAGAATAGGTGGTCAAGAGGGCTCTTTGAGGATGTGGCATCTAAGCCAAGAGCAAAAGGATAAAAACAGCTCACTGGAGTGGCTGAGTGAAGCAACTGATTTGGAAAATACACGGAGTGTTCCAGAGGGCAACAAAGTAAATCAACCTGAATATAAGTGAGAAGCAGGAAGATGACAGTTCCTTGTAGACTATGGTAAGAAATTTAGATATTAGGCCAAGAGCACTGAGATAATGACAGGCTTTAAGCAGCAGTGTGACATTTAATTTATGGTCTAACAAATATCCCTTTGGCCACACTGAAATAACAGCTTTGTGGGGGCAAAATGGAAATAAATTACTTCCGAGTCCACTGTAGTAACCCGGCTGCAAGATAAGGGGCTTAGACAAAAGTGGCAGAACAAATGGAAAGAGGACAGATTCCATGATTCCAATAGCCTTACCTGGCAACCCTTCCTTCAGTCCACACTTCTCTGTTGTTCAAACCTCCACCAGAGGAGATCTAGGCACCCGTTGTTCAGAACCCTTGGCAATTTTCCATTATAGACAGAAGGACCATCCTATTTGAAGTCCTCCACAACCCACGCTGAGTCTACTTTATCAGTATGTTTTTCTCACTACACTTAAAATCCTTTTAGGTTAAGGTTCCAATCCCAGAATACACCTTGCTATCCGGCCAACTCCATGCCTTGGCCCAGGCTTGCCCCCAGTCTTTCCACCTCCTCTCCCCACCTCAAATCCTACCAATCCACAAAGTTCCGGCTAAAACACCACTTCTAATTAAGCTCCCCCAGATTTTCCGGGAAGCATCACTTCTGAACTTGACAACTTTCTGCATTCTTCTTATAATGTCTTATTTCTACATATTTTTCTTTTTTTTTCTTTTCTATTTTTGTCCCTCTTAATCTTCCTCCACTAGATATTGAATAATTTGTAGGAAGAAAAAGCTCCAACGTATCCATTTCCCTAAAAACACCTAGTAGTCTTATATAAAGAAATCTGTTTACATTGAAATACCCTTTTTCTAAAAAGTACTTTGAAACTTTATAAACAGTCACTGGTTAAATATTCATAAGTGGTGAAGTGATGTTGAGAGCGACTACAGTCACCTGTTCAATGGGAACATCATGGATAGGAATGGAAAAAGAAGTAATGTGGTAATCAAAGTTAGAAGAGGAACAAGCTAGACCTTAAGTATACACAACCTTGTCACATCAAATCTTAAAAGTCAAATGATAAAGGAACCAATTTATATTATAAAACTCAAAAGCCCCAAATTTAAAGAATCATCCATTGAAGGTGTATGTCAATAAGGTATAATGTCCACCTCTAAAATATTATAAATCCTTAAACAATATAGGGAGCAAATTCCTAAGACAGAAATTCATGATTGTCAATTCAGAAAATCCTGTTTGAAAGAATTTCTAAATATATAAAGAAACATAAAAGATTCTAAAGTTAGAAATGTAACCTCAAATGCTAAGTGTGCTCAAGGGAGCAGGTTTGGCACACCACGGCCCGCAGACCAAATCCAGTCTGCCATCTGCTTTTTGTACAGATGGTTTTTACAAGCTTAAATCAACTTTAAAAATTCAAAAGATTAATACTTCATGACATATGGAAATGATATGAAATACCAATTTCACTGTCCACAAATAAAGTTTTATTGGAACATAGCCACATTCATTCATTTATTGTTTATGGCTGCTTCAGGGATACAATGGTAGAGACTATATGGCCCACAATGACCAAAATGATATTTACTATCTGGTCCTTTACAGAAACAGTTCGCCAACCCCTCAGCTATAGAGAAAAGATTTCAAGTCACAGAGGAAGAGAGCTGCAAGGCACCTCTGACTATATGAGAGAAATCAAATAGCAGAGACTTCAGCTTCCAATCACGGAATAACCAGGAACAGGATTTACCCTCCTACCTTAGACAATCAGAAAGCTGGTGTAAAATATGTGAAACAATTGTTTTCAGACATTATACACCAAGGAGCATAGGACTACAATCCCTAATGGAAGAGCAACAAACAGATAAGCCTTATAATTGCCCTGACTCTGCTAGAGGCACACTCCAGACTACGGAGGGATGGGAATTCTAAGCAGGGCACAAATGTGTCCCTGAGCTGAAAGGACGGGCACTGGAGATGGGGGAGTCTGAGGAAGCTGAAAGTTGCAGGACTAAGTTCTGGAAGGGAGAGAGCTACACAGAAATGCATAGAGTCCATGAGTCTTTGCTGAATATTAAAATATACATGTATAGAGTGAAACTCCAGTCAGCTGGACAAAAAATGGCCCAGGAACTGTGAATAGAATGGTCCCCAGAGTTCACATGGGGCTGAGAATTCAGTTCCCACTGGCCACACTAATTACTCAGTGCATTCAGTAGAGACCCCAAATGGGCCACACCTATTAGTGGAACTAAACTACCCTGGGAAAAAGCTACTTGAGATGGCATGAAGCTTAAAAACAAGCCTTAAAAGGATCAAACAGAACTGCAAGTCAATAACCGACTGCCAGAACAAAGGCCCAACAAAATCTAGGCATCCAACAACATAAAATATACACTGTCCAGCATTCAATCAAAATTTAGTAGACATGCAAAAAAGCAAGGAAATGTGACCCATAACTAGAGAAAAATCAGTCAATAGAACAGATGCAAAAATTGTAGAGATGATAGATAGGATCAGCTATTTATAACTATGTTCAAATATTCAAAGCAGCAAGAGAAAGTTATTTTAGTGACTGTTTTCTCAAATCTCTCAAGGATACACAGCTAGTACCATTCTAGATGCACAGAAGTGAATGTATTACATGCAACAGTTAAGGCATTAGACTCAATTCTGGGAACCAAATTGAGAGAGGCTGGGTAAGAGAAATACATAAACATAATGAGGAGAGAAACAGAAGATAGAAAAAAGAACGAAACAGCCCTGGCTGGTGTAGTTCAGTGGGTTGGGCATCACCCCGCACACCAGAGGTTGCTGTGGTTTGATTCCAGTAAGACACATGCCCGATTGCAGGCTTGAACCTGGTAGGGGGTGTGCAGGAGGCAGCCGACTAATGTTGTACTCTTGCATCGAGATATATAATCTCCCTCTCTCTATTGAAAAATCAATAATCTATTCTTTAAAAAAAAAAAAAGCCTGGCCAGTGTTGCTCAGTGGTTAAGCATTTGACCTATGAACCAGGAGGTCATGATTCGATCCCTGGTCAGAGCACATACCTGGGGATGTGGGCTTAATCCCCAGTAGGGGTCATGCAGGAGGCAGCCAATCAATGATTCTCTCTCATCATTGTTGTTTCTCTCTCTCTCTCTCCCTCTTCCTTCCTCTCTGAAATCAATAAAAATATACATTTTTTTAAAAAAAGAACCAAACAGAACTTCTAGATAAGAAAAAAAAGAGAATAAAATGAAAAATTCATTGGATGGGATTAATAGCAAACTAAACATTTGCAGAAAGGGTTAGGGAACTTCAAGATGTAGCAATAACATTTATCCCAAGTGAAACACAGAGAAAAAAAGTAGTAAACTGAGATAACAAAACTTAATTTCCAGGCTGCTTTGCTACAAATCATCTATTCAGAATAAAATGCAAGGATTCCCATTAAGTCTGCATATTACGTAGACAGTCTCTTGCTATCTGAAGTTACCCATGATAAATAAAAACTTTCCCAACTGAAAGTGCTGACAAGAGTAAATGTGGTATCTTACTGGGTAATAATTTTAATTAACATTCAAATAAATGCATGTACTTTCGCTTCAGTGTTTGAAGCTTCATCCTCAGATGTATTCCTCTCTCCCGTACAGTTGAGGTCTCTGTCAGGGGCACGTCACAGAGAAAGTTTAAAAAACACTGACTTAGGAACTACTCAAGAAACCCTCAGAACAAGCCATTTCACTTCAAGTTCACCTACTAAATGACTGATATTGACTTTTAGATTCAAACCCTAAAGGCACTGTTGGGAAAAGGCTTCGAGCTACTAAAGTAAGTTTCCTCGTTCACTCCTTCAAGAAACCACCGAAATAACAAGTCATCAAGCGACATCTTGTGATAACAGATCAATTTTAATTCCAGCACCTGAATCTATACAAGGGAACGAATTATAAACCTCCTGGGACTGTTGTACACATTCAATAAAGTGACAACTGTGCAATACCACTTAGTATCTCAAAATCAGGAACAGACTTTTGAATTGTTTAAACACAATCCACAGAATTAAAAATGAAATCAGAAGCCATCCACGTTACGGTAATTGTCAATTTATAGGTTTACAGGTACTACCGGATACACGGTCAATGTCTAGCGGGACGTTGAGGGCGATTTCAGATCCTCCTCTTGTTGTACTCTGCTGGGCAGGTTTCTCGCGTAGCTACGTGACTGGCCAAAGATTGCCACAACCAGGACCAGAAGAGCAGGTCAAGTTCCACCACAGTTCCTGTAGTTGTCACTTTTTTTTTCTTTGTCAGTTAAAAGTGAACAGTGAGAATTAAATACTTATCTTTACATATGCACAAGGTATGCTGTGAAAGCATAGTTGCTTACAAACATATAAAAATACTTGTTAACTAGTTTGATAAGAAAATAATGTATAAAAGTATATAGCAAAAACATTAATCATCTCTGACCCTGGAAAGATCAATTCCATATTTTATATTACAAACAAAAACAGTTTTAGTTTTTTTTGAACCCCCTTATCCAGAAATACTTACAAAGGAAGACAGACATAAATTCTTTATTTTTACTCTGAACATGGTTGTGAAAAGAGTGAAATTAGGAAACCAAGACCACTGAAATGCCTAAGTCCAGAATCAGTTCAAATATTTGGCCACACAGAATATTATCACCTTTAAGAGCAGGAGTAATAATAAAGGCTTTTAAAGCAGTTTTTAATTTATAAATACAATAGGCATTTTGGTCTTTTGGCCACTGGAAAACAAAGGCTGTAACATCAGTAAAGGTCTGAGATGTCTCACTTTTGAGGATTCAATTCAGTGTATTTAAGGTAACTAAAGGTGACATAAAAAGTTTTATAGATAGGCAAAAATTCACATTTAAAAAAAACTCCCTATGTTTCTATTTAGGTTAACAGTAGGCAATATGATTCCAGAAGTTAAAAGTTATTTCAAAACCTATGATTTCAGCTTGGCAAACAGCTTAGGTTCCAAATCTGATTCATCCCTATTAAAATGTAAGCCCTTAAAAAAGAATGTGTCTGTTTACACAGTTATCTCTTTTGAAATAATCAGACAACTTTTGAAGCAGCCTTAGTGTTTCCTTTCCATCTGTCTTGAAACGACGATGGGGTCAGCCTCACGGAAAGGGTCAGCCAACTTCTTGGTCAGAGGCCACCACCGTGATCACTTGCCTAAGGCTAGAAAGGTATCGACGTGACGTCACCGTACGGAGAGAAGGTGAGGGCTTTCCTGGCAGTTGGTAGCTGTAACTCAAGGGATTCTTAGAAAATGACACAATGGCAGCCTTTCTTGTCTTTTTCTTTCCGCGTTGGTTCTGGTGAAGGAGGACATTCCTGCTCCTGAAATTTCCTGTAAGACAGAAAAATCTACGTATAAATCTACAAAATCTACATATGCCTTCTTGGTAATATACTATTACAAATGCAGGTTATTTTTGGATAAATCCAGTGTATGTGCATATGCTTTTCAATGCTAAATTTCACCTAGGGCAGTGGTCAGCAAACTGCGGCTCGCGAGCCACAGTTTGCCAACCACTGACCTAGGGAATCAATGCAAAACTTGGGGAGAGGAGTGCCCACAAGTGCTTTAGCACCAGCATAACAGGCTGTCCAAGCTTCTTCATTAATGGGTGAGATGCTGAAGCGCCTCTAAATTCTCTTCCCAATTTAAAGTTCCATGACTCTAAGGCATACTTAAAAATAAGCATGCATCACTACAGCACAATATTAAATTACCCTTATGAGGTATTTATCCATGTTCTTTTTTTTTTTAAATTGATTTCAGAGAGGAAGGGAGAGGGAGAGAGAGATAGAAACATCAATGATGAGAATCACTGATCAGCTGCCTCCTGGACGCACCCCCTACTGGGGATCAAGCCTGCAACTCAGGCATGTGCCCTTGACTGGAATCTAACCTGGGACCTTTCATTCAGTCCACCGAGCAAACCAGCTAGGGCTATCCATGCTCTTATCCATATCCTACCACCTACTAGCTACAAGTCAGTACTAAACAAGTTAGTTGACCTCTCTGAACCTCCATGTTTTAGAAGGGAATAATAAAAACCCACCTTTTACAGTTGCTATGAGGCTTTAAGAAGATCGTGTTATGTTTACCTATTGTTTTACTCCTCACCCAAGGCTATTTTTTCATTGATTTTTAAAGAGTGGAAGGGTGGGGAAGAGACAGAGAGAGAAACATCAATGTGAGAGCGATACATCGATTGGCTGCCTCCTGTACGCACCCCAACTGGGGCCAGGGATTGAGCCTGCAACTGAGGTATGTGCCCTTGACCAGAATTGAACCCAAGACCTTTCAGTCCAAGGGCTGACACTCTAACCATTGAGCAAAACCAGTTAGGCCTGTGTAGTGTTTATACGCCTAACAATACCTAGCATTAGAAAGCCTGCCCTACCTTCTCCTCACTCCTGAGGGATGGATGGATATAAACAGATTCTGAGAATCAAATCCAAAGACAAAATATTTCAAAAAGGCAGTAAAAATTATTTTAAGAAGGACTAGTTCATCTCTGTGTATGTTACAATACACATGACATAAAATTTACATCTTATCCATTTTTAAGTGTCCAGTTCAGTGGCATTTAAAAATATTCATGTTATATAACTATCACCACCATCCATCTCCAGAACTCTTTCCTCTCGCAAATCTAGACTCTGTATTCATTAAAAAGTAACAGGCCTCAGATTTTTAACAAACTAGTAAAAAATATATAATCTTTACCTCACCGACCACCCTCCACAGAGAACGCTCAGGCAAGGGCTAAAAATTATAAGAAGTTCAGAGGTCACGTCAGCTTACGAGTAGATACACAATTAACATGAGCCTACTCCACAGACCTGTCAAACTATCTAACTAGCAGAGAACCCAGTAGATCTAGAGAGCAGGGAGTATGCTAGGGGCTAGGCATAGACTCAAAATAACCAAATCAAACCCTGCTCAAGGAAGCACCCTAATCTCTTCGCACAAACATACAGAAACTCCAGTGGACTTCACCCATCACCACAAGCTTCCTGGAACCCATTAACACTTTCTGAACCACAGGGGCCTCCTAGGCCAGCTAACAGAAAGACTCTTTGTAGTCTGGATTACACTCCATGACCCATGGGGACGCTCAGTATCTACCACTCGATTACTCTTCGCTGGGAGGAGCTGGGCAAGAAGCAAAGCTAAGAGCACAGTCTGGACTCAGAACTGTGGATTCAAGTCCCCATTTAATATGCCCAAGCTTTGGACAAGTTAGTTAACTTCTCTGTACCTGTCTCCCCATCGGAAAGTGGGGATAAATGAAAGTATCTGACTTACTGGGTTATGGTGAGGATTAAATGTAATAATACACGTAAAGCACTTAGCCCAGCATCTGCCAGAAACTACCCTTAAACATCAGCTGCCGTCATCGCTATCCTCACACCACCACCTTTGGAAATTGCATAGATTCTTTTCAAAACTCCTATGTGGACTCTCCACTTCAATTTAATTAAAGTAGGGTTTATATGCAGGAGGTACCTAGAATATAAAATGTACTTAATTAAAAATTTTAACACATGTATTAATCCCCAAATCAGAATCATTTCTACATATAATTTCCTTTCTTACTGAAAAACATTTAATGGTCCCCCTGTTAATGGTTTTGAAAAGCACGGTGTGATTACCTGTCAAATCCAATAAATTAAAACAAATTTCTAGAATGTACTTTGCTTACCTTATAACCCGGACAAGTTCATGGAAAGCTTGATCTACATTCATCCTAATCTTTGCAGATGCCTCCATATAAGTCACCTTCAGTTGCCGTGCTAACTGCTGTCCTTCTTCCTGTGTTACCTGAAATTCCAAGAGTAGTGTGTGAGGTACTGTATTAACAGTGACATCTGCTCCATCTAACCCTCAGCCACGGTTGCACTGTTAATACACCCAGAGGACAAGCTGGTCTATCACAAAAGGACTTAACAGTTCAGCACACACTGAAGCCCAGCTCTGCCGAACTCAGGAGCGCACACCTGTGACAGGAGCACGACTTCAGTCTAGAGGTTACCAAAAAGTATTAAACACAACAGTGATAAATCTGGGAAGGTAAAGGTCAAGATGCTATGAGAATCTGTAACCCTGTCCGGCTGGTCAGGGAAAGCTTCCCTGAGGAAGTGATATTTAAACTAAGAACTAAATAAAGAATATGGAGCTAGCTGGGGGTGGGGTGAGGAGGTATCCCTGACAAAGGAAATGGCACGGTGAGCAAGGGCCACAGTGGGGAATGTGCTTTCCAAGTTCCGGGAACTGAAAGAAGCCTAGAATGGCTGGGTACAGCAAACCAAGAAAGAAAACGACAAGAGGTGAGAGATGGGGAGGAGGACAAGCCTCAGGAGGCTTGGGGTCTTTTTCACTTCTGCACTTCCCAGTACCCGGTACATAGGAGATGCTCCACAAATATGTGGAAAAAATGAACAATAAATAGGACCACGAGCCTTTACAATGCCTTTCTTACATTAAGAGGCAAAGGAAGACAGGCAGGGAAGGGTGCCATGCCAGAGCTGATGACAGAAAACGGTAGACCGGAATAAGAACACATTAACTGAACTAAGTAGATACCCTATATATTTAAAATGTAAAAGGTCAGAATAGTGACATTTGCCTAAAATTATTAAACCATATTACATTTACATTTACGTAGTGGGGCTGAAAGGTATGTTTTTGAAAAAAGACTTTATTGCTGTCATTATCACAAAAGTAAACACTTGCAAAAAAGTTAGAAAAAAGGTATGGGAAAACAGAAAAGGAAGATTAGGAGCCTGTCACCCATAGAGAAGCACATTCTTCTGGTTTTTCAATGATATACCTTTTTCTCTACAAAAATAAGATCATAACTTCTGTGTATTTGTGTTACACCCTGGAAACACGCTAAACTCATTTATCTAGGTGTTCTTTGGTAATAGCCTTTCTACATAAACAGCTTATGTCATTTGCTAATAAAAAGTTTTATTGCTTCCTTTCTGACGTGGATGCCTTTTCTTTTTTCTTGCCTTAGCTCACTGCCTAGAACCGCCAGGACAATGATATCAGTGGTGTGAGGGGTACTTTCGACTTGTTTCTGATCGTAGTGACAAAGCATTTGGTCTTTCACCTTTACGTGTGCTGTTTGTTGCAGGTAGGGTTTTATGTACCTATAACAGCAGAAATTTCAGCATCCCTTTCTCAATAACTGAGCAAGAAGAAAGAAAATCAGTAGTGACACAGACGGCCTGAACCACACTATCAAACACCTTATGCTAATTGACATGAGATGTCCTTCGTCATCAGGCTAACCAAGGTCCTCACTATTCCATTTGCAAAGTGTTTTCATCAGGAATGGATGTTGGATTTTGTCAAATGTTCTTTTTTTCTGTGTCTATTGAGATCATATGATTTTTTCCTTTTCCCTTTTTTAGTTTGTTGATATGGTGAATTATATGAATTCATTTCCACATGTTAAACCAATACTGCATTCCCCACTTAAGGGATGATGCACTGTCCTTTCCATATATTGTTGAATTCTATTTGTTAAAAATCTGTTTTACATCTCTGTTCATGAGAGATGTTGGATTGTAGTTTTCTTACACCTTTGTCTGGTTTTAGTATCAGAACAATGCTGCTTCATATGATGAGTGGGACAGAATTCTCTCTTCTTCAATTTTCTGGAACAGTTTCAGCAAAATTGTTTCTATATAATTCACTAAAGATCCCATCTAGGTTTGTGGTTTTGTTTGAGGGAAAGTTCTTACAACAAATTAAATTTATTTTATCGATACAGTACTGTTCAGGTTGAGTGAGCTTTGGTAATTTGCACCTTCCAAGGAATATGTCTATTTCATCTAACATGTATAGTTATTAGTTTATTAGTATAAAGTTGTTTATAGTATTTCTTCATTATTTCTTAAATATTTATATATTTATAAGATCTGAAGTGATGGTATCTTTCCCATTACTGATGTTGGTAACTGTGTCTTCTCTCCTTTTTACCATTCTAGCCAGATTTGTCACTGACCTTCTAAAAATCAGTCTGGGTTTTTTCCCCTGTGTTTTCTATTTTCCATTTCATTGCTTTCCATTCTTCTGATTAGTATGGCTTTAACTTACTCTTTTTCTTTTAGTTTTTAAGGTGGAAGTCATTTCACTGAGACCTTTCTTTCCTAATAAAAGCATTTAGTCCTATAAACTTCTTTATATACTTCTTCAGTAGCTCCCATAAATTTTGATATGTTGTTTTAATTTTCGTTCAGTTTATAATGCTTTGTAATTTCCCTTTGGGTGTTTTTTGTTTTTTTTTATCAAGGACTTGAAGTATGTAGTTTCCCCATATTTGGAGATTACTTAGATTTCCTTTTTATTGATTTCCAATTTAATTCCACTATGGAATTAAAACAAAATATATGCTGTCTCATTAGAATCCCTTTAAATTTATTGAGATTTGTTCTGTGATCCACTCACATTTCAAAAGATGTGCATTCTGCTATTGTTAGGTGAAGTGTTCATTAAATGTCATTAAGGATAAGTTGTTTGATAGTGTTGTTCAAGCCACCTATATATCTCACTATTGATTTTCTTTCTGCTTGCTCGGCCAACTAGTGAGAGAGGGGTGCTGAAATTTCTGACTCTTAGTATAAATATGTCCATTTCTCTTTGTAGTTCTTTCAATTTTTGCTTCAAGAATTTTGAAGCTGCTATCAGGTACATGAATATTTAGGATTGTTATGTTCTCTTGATGAATTAACCTCTTTATCATTATGACACAATCCTCTTTATTCCTGGTAATATTATTTGCTATGAAATCTACTTTGATATTTATAGAGCCATTTCAACTGTGTGTTTTTTTATGTTTTTATTGATTTTTTAGAGAGAAGGGAGAGGGAGAGAGAGAGAAAAAGAGAGAGAAACATCGATCAGCTACTTCCTGCACGCACCCCAACCAACCAGGGAACAAACCTACAACTCATACATATGCCCTGACCAGGAATTAAACTGGCGACTTTTTGGTGCACAGGACGATGCTCAACCAACTGAGCCACACTGACCAGCGCCAACTGTTTTTTCATTAGTGTTACAATGGTATATTTTAGCCCAACCTTTTATTTTTAACCTATTTGTGTCTTCACATTTAAAGTAGATTTCTGGTAGGGTCTTGCTTTGTTTATCCAATCTGACAATATCTGCCTTTCAATTGAGGTGTTCACACTATTTACATTTAATGTTACTGTTGATATAGTTGAATCACCTTGAAATTTGTTTCCTGTCCATCCTATTTGTTCTTTGTCCTACTTTTCCTTTTTCTGCCTTGTTGTGGATTAACTGTGTTTTTTTAATGATTCCATATTATTTCCTATGTTGATTAATGAACTGCATACTTATTATGTTATTTTAATGATTGCTTTAGAGTTTATAATACACATTTTCACTCATCGCAATCTAATTCAAATGACATTGTACCACTTCATGTATAGTTTAAGAATCTTATTACAAAATGAGTATGTTTCTCCTTTCTGCCTTTTTTTAATTACCTTTTACCTCACAATACATTGCTATTATTCTTGCTTTGAACATTCAATTGTTTTAGAGATTTAAATAACAAAAGTAATTTACATTTGTCCACATAATTACCATTTTTGGTGCTCTTCATTTCTTTGTATAGATCCAGATTTCCATTTGGTGTAATTTCTCTTCTTTTATTTTTCTTATAATACAGGTCTGCTGGTAATGAATTCTTTCACTTTTTGTATACCTGGGAAAAGTCTTTTTTTCCACCTTCATTTTTGAAATGAATGTTTAGTGGGTATTGAATTCTAGGCAACAGTTTTTTCTTTCAGTACTTCGAAGATGTTGGGTCACTCCAGTCTGGTTTGCATTGTTTCCCATGAGAAACTATGACGACTGGTCGCATCTTTATCTTCACTCCTCTTGTCATTTTTCAGATTCTCTCTTTATCTCGAGTTTTAAACAATTTCATGATAATATGCCTTATTGTCATTTTCTTCATACTTCTTGTACTCACGGTTTGCTGAGCTTCTTAGATATACAAGTTTATGGTTTTCATCAAACTTAAAAATTTGTCATCCTTTATTTTTGCTGTTAATCTCAGACATTGTAGATCTAATTTCTGGGAGTTCTATTTTGATCTTTATACATCTTCATGTCTATAGTTAACATATTCAGTCTTTTCTCTAGCTCCTTTAATATAGGAATATGTTTTAATGTCTGTGTTCACTAATTATGTTATCTGTGTCATTTCTGGGTCTGTTTCTATTCACTATTTTTTTTTCCTATTATGAGTCATATTTTCCTGCTTCTTTACATGCCTAGTAATTTTTGAGTGAATGGTTGGGTACTGGACTTTGACCTACTAAGTTCTGGATAGTTTGTATTCCTATAAATGTTTTGAGCCTTCTTTTGAGATTCAGTTATTTGGGAAGTTTGATCCTTTTTGTTATACAGTGCCAGAACAGCATTTAGTCTAGGGCTAATTCTGCCCCACTAGTGAAACAAAACACCATTCAATACTCCAAGAATTATGAGGTTTTCCACTCAGACCAATCAGATTATGAATTATTTCTGACCCTATCTGAGCTCAAGGCATTGTTCTCTCTAATCTTTTCAGGTAGTTTGTTCTCCCAATTTAATAAATTCCATTCCCCAAATTCAGCAACCTCAATGAAATACCATTAGGTTATTATTACATTAATGCATATACATCTAACAAGTACTTCATAACACTTTATACCCTGTTGTGTTCCAAAAGGGTGGCAGGCAGGTTTCAAGTTTATGTAATTTTTAAATTTACCCTTCCTCTCTTCAAAATA